AAAGAGAGAGATCCAATACTGATCTTCAGGGTTGTATTTAATATGAGGGAGAGCTCTTCTAACTCTCAAAATTTCTATAATTGTGAATTGATGTATTCATTTGAGATTCCCTCAACTTGAGTGGGCATGGTAGTAACTGGTTCCGTAACTAGGCCACTTGGGTTCCAACCAAAATAGTATTTTGGGCCAGAAGTGTCTTTGAAATTTTCTCAAAACCTTCGAGTATTATCTGTGGTATGAGATCGCTACCTAATAGAAGATCTATTTTAGCGAGAGGGTTGTAGTTGGCATCTGCTAGCTTTAGGTGTGAAACCTTTTGCCAATGCTTGCTACTTATGTGATAGTTTGGAAGCATATTTGTAAGTTGCGGTACGACCATTGCTTCTGCTTTAATTCCCTTATCCGCTTGAGGGAAATTAGGGTGATGGGGCAGATTTTATTTGAGTTTTGGACTACTCTTCCGCCCATTCCCATGATATCAAAATTGGCTAGTTTTGATGATAGTTGTAGCCTGTTTTGTGCCCTAGACGCTATAAAAGATCGTTGTGATCCTTGGTCTATTAAGGCCCTAAGTTTAAACAGCTCTCCTCGGTGTTCGATGGAGACGACTGCTGTTGGTAGTAGTACTCTACTTTGAATTTCGCTGTGTAGCGTTTGGGTTCTTAATGCCTTTGAGCAGCATGGTGCTTCTTGGCAATTTTCGGGATTTCGCACTTCGGGATTTGCTGTTGCAACTAAACCCGTGGCTCTTTTCATATTTGCGCTGTTTTTGAGCGAGCTGAGGTATGTGCTGTGATGTAGCATTGAGTGGTGTCTTTGATGACAATAGAAACAATTGAATTTGTTTTTACAATTTTTATAAGGTGACAAACAATTTGTACAAAGTATTTTTGATCTGATAAAATTATTTCGTTCGTTAATTTTTAAGTTTTAAATTTCTCGCAAGATTGTAGCTTATGCCCTCTTGTGCATAGTTCGCATGACGTATGTTTATTCTGTTCGGGTGTGAACGATTGCGTTTTGTAAAAGCTTCTGTTTAATTTGTTTTTGCTACTAGCTTGGGGTCTATTGAAGCTTTCTTTTTAGGTCGTGTTGAATAATTTTTGTTTTAATTAGTTTTTTATCTACCCTTTCAGCGATTTCGTTCTGGGTAGTTAGAAAGTCTTTCATTTGTTGTCACGTGGGGCATTTAACGATTTTTCTGGTAATGCTGCGGTGCATATGTTTACCACTATAGGGTCCCAGCTGTCTGTGGGAATATTTTGTGTCGATAAAACCGACAAACAGTTTGAAACAATGGATTGTAGTCTTATAAATTCTTCACTGGTTTCTTTTTGAATCTTAGGCAAGTTTATTAGTGTCGTTAATTGTTTATCGACCAATATTCCTTCATTTTCATATATTGCTTTTAGAGCTTCCCAAGCCAAATTAAAATTGTCGTCATTTAGTGTGAACTATTTTACTATTACGCCTGCTTGACCTTTTGTCTCATATTTTATTTTTGCGCTTTTGATAATTTTGGATGGTTGATGTATACGGCTGTGAACATGTCCCGTAAGGACCGCCATTCTTCATAACCTCCATTGAATATTTCGGTGTCACATGCGGGCTCCTCGAGGTGGATTCCTGAACTTGCCTCTTGACTTTGAAATTGTGGCAAGTCTACTCTCGAATGTGGAGCAATAGCTTTTATTAGCTTTAATTGATCGGAGATCATAGCTTTTGTAGCTTCATACTGGTCTAAGCCTTTTTCATAATTGGCGAAAGCCGAAATTTTTACAATTTTGATTTGTTAGATCTGATGAATCAGTTTCTATTATGACGTCATGAGCTGCTTGGAGTCTTGTCCAAAAATTTTCGAGATTTTTAATTTTGGTTTCCAGTACCGATTCAGAATAGTCTTGAATCGGTGAAGATGAAATCTAGTGCAGTATCTTATTAACCTGTCACTTTCTTTTCAGTGTAAACTGAAAACTTATGTATATGAGGCGATAAATGATAATTTTTACCAATACTCTTTTAGGTGAATAAGAGTTTGGTGTTTCGAATTATATTTTACAAAACGTTCATTTAGTGTTATGAATACCGTTTTGTATTTACTTGTGTATATTTTTGTTATTTTTATATATATGTATATTTTTTTTATTCATGAAAACGCACTTTTAATTATTAATACTTTTTATGTCCTTATGTTGAAGAATGTAGGTACACCCTAATATATGGCCTAATTTGTACGCAGTTATGTTCTTTTGGAATTAAGAGCTCGTTGAAGAGATCAATGCGCTTTTTTTTGCATGCAACCCTGCTTGTTTTTGGTTGCCTAAGAACAAGGGGCATTGCCGGAAAATTGCCTATGAGGACTTTGAATATATGTAAAATTGTATATACCAATATATGCATAGTATGTAAGTATGTTGTTGGAAATATTTTATTTTGTATTTTGTTTTTAATAATTTTAATTCAGTGAATTATTTTTCACTTTACCGCTGTGAAATTACTTGTGAATTTTAAGTGTATATATTTAGAAGTTATTCTAAATTTTAATTTATTTATTCCCAGTGTAGAGTAAAAAGAGATAGGTAAATTCTATGCCGTATGATTTTTATGTAAACGTTCGTACGTATGTTCGCAATACGAAGAAAGTGCGAAATGAAATTGGAAATACGCAGGTATTTCTCAAATGCAATTATGTATGAGTTTATATATGAAAATTTTAAATTTTTTGTTGATAATACATCGATGTATGTAATAATCGTACTCTCTGTAATATTGATTTGTTACTTATATGTACCAAATGTATGTATGTATGTATAGATGGACGTGGTAAGTTATTATGCATATATGTACAATATATATGTTTGTTTGCTTTTTGATGTCTCTGTTTTTGTTAATTTTTTTTATTAAATACTTGCTATTTCGCCTTTGCTTACTTATGTTATGCAATCCTGCTTACTGCTTTATTAAGCATAAGGGGTATTGCTGGAAAATATTTGAATGTGAATACTTGAAATTTTTTTCATGTGTTTTACCTGTTTTTTGTTAAATTTTGTGTTGTGGTTTGAGACCACATATGTAAGCTTTTATAGGCATTAGTAATTATATAATATGTCGTGAAAACAGTATTTGAAATAACCAATTTTATATTAGTATATAAAACTCTTTATATATATATATATATAATAAAGTAAGACAAAACACAATGAATACGCTCACTTTCATTTTCCTCAAGGGGCTTTTTTAAAGGATATGTGTTTGTTTAATTCCTTGTTTTAATGATCGCGCCCGTTTATTTTGTTTTTACTTTTATTTTGTCTTTGGGTTTCGCACCCGGTTTGTTTGTCAATATGTTTTTTTATTATTTATTTTTTTTTCTTCGCTCTTTTGCATTATATTATACATATATACGTATTTATGGGTGTCAATGCATTATATATAGTTTTTGCTAATACAATTTTAGTTATATATGTAAATATACATATATGTACTCTCCTGTTTTTTTTTATAACACCACTTTTTGTTTCACTGCAATCTTTTTTGACACCACCCTCCTTTTTTCCGTATATGTGTATATATATTATATATATATTTTTTTTTTGAATGTATGTGCTTTGCCGATTATTTGCATAAATTGCGTGCAAAAAATGACAGCAGAACGTGATGCTGTTGCAAGTGTTGCCAAAAATTCACGCAGAACGTGATATTTTGACAAATTTGCAACACTGCGGTCGTGATTGCCATCTCGAACGCACCCGTAGTTTCATCGGGTGGTGAGAACCTGTGAATGTTGCATTAGGGTGCGCCAGTTATTACCGGAGAGAGTGGTGGTACCGAGGCTTAACTTATTAAACACACATGAAACTAAACAGTAAAAAATTGTTCTATAAACCTACATAATATTGACCGAAAAATACTTTTATTATTGTTAGATAAGCGTGGGTTGCTCTGTACTATATTTTTCGTGTATCGAGCATACCACACTTTTCTCTCAATAATTTTTTAAACCATTTTTCATGAAATGGTTCTTGACATAAGTCCACTAATTTCATTAGTATTCATTGCAGATTTCTGGTCGAAGAAATTTAAAACCTAATAACCCTAATCTACAAAATATATAAACAAAGGCAATCTTTTTTTTTTTTGCTAAAATTTTAAGTTTTTAATACAACTGAATTAATACATCATATTATATTCAACCTTATCAATATATAATATAACCTCGGGCTATCCGTATTCGAGCACGAGAGCCACGGTATTCTATCTTCAGTCGACTTTTATATAGCAGGTGGATGAGAATCCGTGTTTGAACTTGGTCTGTCATTCGAACTACCTTCTCCTTGAGTTGACGACATTTGGCTCGCGATTGATTGAAAAAGTTGTAACATACTGTTGGGAAGTAAAGTGGAAACCATCGGATCATTACTATTTGCTGGTATCCCTGAACATAGTTGTTGAACTGCATTTCTTACAATCGGATCTTGGCTCAAAGCCTGCAATTGTCCCAAATCTATGTCAGCATCGTTAACTAAATTACGAATTGCTTGCGATGATAGCATAGAATTAATACTATCTGATATCTGAGGAATGGAATCGCGTAATTGAGCGGCGTCCCGAGCTACTTCCAAATTGTTACGATAGTCATGATTTTCTGGTTCCAGTTCAATTGCCTTTTCATAAGCTTGTTGTGATTCAGAGTATTTTTTCAAATTAGAGTATGCTATACCAAGCCTTCCGTAAGCTTTGCCATATGTAGGTTTATACAATAATGCTGTCTTACAATCTGTAACAGCATTTTCGTTATAATTTAAACGAATATATGCAGCTGCACGATTACAGTAATAAATTGCATTCCTTGAATCAAAGCATATTGCACGATTATACTTCAACAGAGCTTCATTATACTTTCCTTCTTTCATAAGCCGATTACCTTCATTTTTAAATGACTCAGCCATTTGTGTTGCTTTTGGATTACGTTCAATAAACAAAGTTTGAAATATCTCAAAAATATCCACACCACCTTTTTGTTCATGCTCACTGTGGTTTTCCGAAGCTAGAGAGGATTGCAACCCTAAGTCATCGGATATATCAAAGGCAGTTTGAAGACATTGAATTGCGACATCAACACTCTCTCTACAATCTGAAGACAAATTTTGAGAAGTGTTCGGATGTTTCAAAAAATTAATAAACGCCTGTACAAATTCTTTATGAACTGTATCAACCATTTTGAAGAACTCTAATTCGCAAATATTTATAGATATGGAAGAAATAAAATAATCGATAATAATCGGCTAAACTACGTTCCACATATCGGTTAATTACCCAACCTTCCTGTTATCTAAGAGCACACGTGTTAACGACTTGTTATTGTTTACTTATGCATATATTAAACTATTTGCTATATATTTTAAGAGAGTGGCAAAAAGTAACACATCGCCAATTGATGTTCAATGGTTTACTGGTTCCATCCAATTGCAATTATAACATGCTGTCTCGTTCTAAGTTACCTCCTATAAGCGTACCTTCCCTCAAGAACAGTGACAGTCATCTAAATGGTAATATGACAGTCACAGCTGAAACAATTTTGTCAGCGCGCGGAACAAAGTTTCCTAAATATTCTTAAGAGCTTGTGTGTGAGTTTTCGTCTCTTTTAACACATGGGTATTTGGAACTGATTCACTATATATCTATAAAGTTCATTTCCTGAGTCATTGCTGACCATTACTTCATCAAAGCTGAAAATTGTCAATTATGACTGAAAAGCTATCATAACTGCAATTTGTTGGTTTTGACGGTAAATCTATCATAAATAACAAATATTTTTTTTCATCATTTTTAAACTTCTAATATTAAGATATTTACCAAAAATGTACAAAAAGTAATATAATTTTTAACATAAATTACGTAAGAACTTATAACATTTCTTCCTCTCTAGGTAATTACTTTGAAATTTTTTTATATACATAATACATTGAAAAATCAATATAATTAATTTTTTTAAATTGAAATATTTATATAATTAATTGAAAAGACAATATAATTCATTATGTTTTTTAATTTAAATATTTACATAATGCATTAAAAAAGCAATATAATTCATATATGCGAACTAAATTACAAATCTAAGAAATTGTAATAAAATAAGATAATATTCTTAAAAATTTATATACATTTTAATTGTTGCGTTTCCTTAAGATGTATTTATTTCTTTTGTTTAAATCGGTGGTGGCTATGTTCAATGGCTCTCCTTATGCTTTTTTAAAAGTAAAATGAACCTTGCGAAATGAACCTGAAAAACGAATAATAAATTAATTAAAAACAGTTGCCTTTAGCTTTTATATTCAGCTTATTTACCTCGTAAAATTGCTTCAATGATCCTTAGTTGGCTAAGGCATGTTTTTCGTCTCTTCCATTCCCATTAAACGACTCGAGGAGGAAGTCCGTAAATATATTTTTGAAAGCGTGTCCAATGTCATCGGATGCACCCTTGAGTTTGGGGACATAGGTGATGTGTAAAAGAATAATATATAAATGTCATTAGTAATTTTAAGTGTATTTATATAATAAAGAACGTTTTTACTATAGTTTGCGTGAAATCGGAGTTTTTTAGCTATTCTTACACCACCAGACAACCCTCAACCGTTTAAATTGGTAAAATGCGTGCTACTTCATCAAGAGTGTCATTTCTTGCCTCTCCAGTCAGAGGGGCACACCGATCGCTCAATCTTTTTTATATGCTTCTTTCCTTGGTGAAATCGAGTTAGATATCGGGTTAAATATATATAAATGATCAGGAGGAAGAGACGAGTTAAAATCTATCCGTCCGTTCGTGCAAGTTGTAACTTGAGTAAAAATTGAGATATCTTTATGAAACTTGGTACCGTAAAATGGTCCCGCCCCCTAGTAAGTTTAATGTGCATATCTTCTAAACCGCTAAAACTATAATAACAAAATTCACTGATAACAAATGTTTTAGCACCTCTATCACTCACTTTTTAGTTTGAAGTGGTTTAAACGCGTGTATTTTAGTTTTTTAAAACTATATTTTTTTTTAATTTTAACTTATCTTGTGACAAGACAAACAGAAAAAATTGTTTTGCGCAGTTCTGAGAAACTCATAAGGAATTTTATGCGTCCAATTTTGACAGGATTGCTTTTACAAAGAGATAAGTGTTTTTTTTTGACAACCATCAACATTGACAGCCATTTTACTCTTCATTTGACTGTCAATGGTGACAGAATTCAGCCATTTTATTCTTAGCGAATATGTTACCTATGTGTTATCCATAACAAAATTATGTTACCCAAATTTCCATTGCACCCTGGTGTGTCGAGCGAATATCAGAAGGACTGTTTAGGACGCCTCTGAAATAAAAAAATCAGCCGATAGGTATAAGTATACATATACAATTGTATATGCCCGTAAGAAATTAGATTAATTACTCTAACACCAGTAAGAAGATACTGAAATATCGGCTTTTGGAGTATCTCCAAGCTAGGCACAAAGTCCCTTCAATCCTTACGCATTTGTAACTAAACAGAGACTAACTATCGTATCGTATTACCTGTAGATATGCAAACGGTCCTAGAATAGTATCCAGTCCAATATAGGCTGGTCACCAAATGGTTGCCCAATATCAATAAAAATACCACTAACGTGCGACACACTTTCCGATAGCGGTGTTGTTTTTGAGGTCGCACGGCGCTCTTCTATATTTTAGGCCCTGCCAGATTCAACATGCCATCGCCAATACGTTGTAATTCTTTACAACTGATGGCAACTATGTCTTATGTGTGGTAATATGTCTTAACAATAAGACACTCCCGCATATGTGTCACATTCGGCTTTCCTTTTGCCTGATTACCACCTCTTGTCATCATTGCAGGTCAAGAAATGATGGCAAACTTCGCATTGTGACAATACCGGATGACTACAAACCTAAGCTACAATTTTTGCAATTGAACCCATCGATGGGCTCCACAATTTGTTCTTCGTTAGGTTAAGAAACGTTCGTGTAACCAATCAAAATGCTTATCATCTTGATACCTGCAACAGATTTATGTAGCTGTGTTTTTCGGCGCCGCTGTAGATGCTAATTGGATAGTGTTATCATAATTGCTAGTGGAATGTATGAGTGTTACTAGTTTGTGCCCCACCACTGGACCTTATTTTCGAATAAATTTCGTTGTCATCATTAAAACCATCTTCCCAGTCATCATATTATTCGCAGTTTGATCATTTGTTGATTTGTTTGAGTTTGATTTCTCTTCTCTTCTTCTTAAAAAAATTGGTTATTCGCCTTTCCTTGATATACTTTATTGTCGATAGTTTTTACTCTTTCTAACTTTAGGATTCCCTATTCAATTAGAAATGACAGTGAATGTACTGAATGACAATAAATGCGGTTTTTTTTTCTCAATCTCAATAAATCACACGATCATAGCAAGACCATTGTAATTTCAACATATAGTACATACTATGGTGTAAAGTAAATGGACAATGGCTAGAAGATGACAATCATCAGGAAAGTATGCTTGCTGAAGCAGGATTAAACTGCACAGGAACACAAATTCCTCTACTATTTGCTACAGTACTGACGATATGTTTCCCGTCCCAATCACATATGTTGAGGTATAATCACAATGATTCGACATCGCACAAAAAGCAACGATGTAGCAATATCGTTCAGTGACGTATTGAAGCATCTTCTGTCATTGCAGCAACTTTATTAGATGCAGGCAGTACAGCTCATTTAGTATTTAAGTTGTCATTAAACATTCAAAATAACCCCCAGATGTAGTGCACAGAAACAAACGTCCATGTCCAACGTGCTGAAACATTGTAATATTATATCATCATTTGGGATGAATGCACTTTGGCACACTAACATTAGCTTCAGGCATTGGATCGAATATTGAAAGACACATCGACCATCTATTTGGCGGCTCTCTGTTACTCTTTCCAACTGATTTCAGGCAATCACTTCCTATACACTGTATTTTTTCCTCCTCCATTGACAGTGTTTAAATGTGGTGTTGCAATCATATCATGTGGTGTTGCCACATTAAGAAATACTGAACAAATTTCCACAAAATTTGGTACATAAAATTATATTGCTACCTTACGGTGTAAAAATTGGCGAAATCGGAATACAATCTACTTTCCACATTGCAATATTTTGGATTCAATCTATTTGTTTCCTATACAGTACAAAACAAACCCCAATAAAGTTGTTCGAAGAAAACTTTGTACGAATAGTGCTTAAAGATATCTAACGTCTCGCAATGGTCGAAATCGGAACATAACTTATCAAGATCCTATCAGATACCGGTATGTTGACCTGATCCGGTTGACTTTATACCATATATGTCAGTCAGTATGTAAGCTGCAATTTGAAATTCAGGGATAATCTTTTTCTGGTATCAGTATGTTTTCATGACAAAGATGGGTAAATGTATATCGGCTAATATGTGAGATATCATAATGAAAACCTTTTTGATGACAGTTGATCCCTGAGCCTAAATTGGATCAAATCATGTTAATACGCTTCCTAGCCCCATGTACTAGTATGAGGGTTTTCTTTATACCATAAGCATTTGTCAATCTGTGAGTCATCTTTTTAATCCAATGATATGTTGTAATGCTAAAATTGAATTGAAAATACTAAGGGAATGTATAATTCTGGATAAAAGTACATTCCTTTAAAATTCAGCAGACTTTATACCGAATACATCGGTCAATGTGTGATTTATTTTCCTAAAATAAAAACATGTTCCCGATTATGCTTCAGTTATACCAAAAGTTAATGCAATCAATTAAGATCTTTCTCAATATACAGGATATAGTTATTTTTATCAAATTCCATCTGACTTTAAAGGGCTTATGTTGGTTAATGTGTGATATTTTTAAGAAATTCAGTAAATAGTTCCTCTAAAAATAATATAATTTAGCGCAGCATGCTAGATCTTAGTCTAAACCTCATATCCCTAATATGCAGATTTCCCACTCTCTGGTTGATGTTTTCCTCTTATACGCCCTATATATCCTCTTATATATTCTATATATTTGATTTAGCCAATTTGGTTGAGTACCTTCATATTATTATAAATTGTTCGGAAAAGCAGAATGTAGTAATTAAACTAAGTCTGCCTATGTTTAATAATATAAGTTAGAAAGATGCCAAATTTGATATAATAATATTTATATCGAATTCTTACTCAAACAACATGTTGCTACAGAGTATAATAGCTTTGTTCACCTAACGGTTGTTTGTATCACCCAAAACTAAACGAGTTATATATATGTATATCTAAATGATCAGGATGAAGAGACGAGTTGAAATCCGGGTGACTGTCTGACCGTGGGCGTGGCCCCGCCTCGTAATAGGTTTAATGTGTATATCTCCTAAACCACTAAAGCTGTAATTACTAAATTCACTCAAGAAAAAATCTTTTTAGCACCCCTAGCGACAGTTCGAAAATGGGTGAAATCGGGTAATATCCCTGTTCACTGCTCATGTAACGGTTTTGATTAAAACTACTAAAAGTGCGATAACTCACGAAATAAATACGCCATAAGCATTCAATTTCACAAACAAGATGGAAGGAAAGAGCTTTATAGGAGGAGGTGTATATATTGTAAAATGGGCGTAGCACCACCTCGACCACCAATAATTGATGCATTTGTTATCTGATAGGTTACTTTCGGTCTGGCCTTGGGAAAAAAAGAAACTATTTCTCTTCTTTCACTACAGGTCGGTATGTGTATCTTACTCACTGTTGGTTAACAGCGCCCTTTTCATTGCCCATTTGTTTCGTTAACAATCTACTGTTAATAATTTGGGTGGTTATTTTTACAAATTTATAGTAACTATTTTAGATTTGCTTTTAAATAATAGCATTAATATACCTACATTACAAACTAAATTTTCCTTTTTTGAATCATTTCTTGGCGAATATTTATAATTAAATAATAGCATTAATATACCTACATTTAAAACTAAATTTTCCTTTTTAGAATTCTTGGCGAATATTTATATATATATGTACTATATTATCATCATATACATATATAATATTATAATTTAAAAACTAAAATGGTTGAAGTACAGCTTGAGAAATTTCCATTGAAATTTGAAAATATCTAAAATGAATTAAACATTTTTTTTATATTTGTTAAAATATCTATATTATAATTAAAAAATAAATGCATGGAAGTTTGTATACAATTCACTTAAAAAGTTGAGGGCTACAATATTTAACATGTTACTTAACATATGTATGTATATGTTATGTACAGTGGTTAACTTGGCCACATCTTAGGAAAAGTCAAAAATTGTACTGAAATTTAAACATAGCATTTTTTGTTTGGTTCCCGTAACATTTTGACCACAAAATAAATCAGAAGAAACAATTTTTAATAACATGCCCAATACTTGGAATATTTCAATTCAATGCGCAGAACCATGGCGAGTTGCGTGTTGGATTGAAATCGGTCATGTCATAATAGACATTTACGAATTCTTGATTATCCGAGATGACAGTCCTCTGCGTAAAAAAAAACAGTAATGACCGTTTCTTTCCACAAGGTGGTATGCTCAAACAACATAAAATCATTGCGCAATAACAGACTTGCGTCACTAGTTTGTGTGGTGTATGGTTGTGTTTGTGCGAAATATTGCGATGTAAGGCAATAACTGCACAATTTCCAGTTTAGTTTTAATATTGTGATGTTCACATCGTACCGCATAATACAAAACAGCGCAGAAAAGGATAAAACATTTTGGAACTCTACAAGTTAGATGCTACAAAACCCGCCGCAGGCACTAATGACATCTATGTACCATCATTGTCGTATTGATATCATTCTTGAAGGACCAATACGAAAAGATATTAGGCTAACTACTATTGATGTCGACGTAAATAGCGTATACCTTTGTAGTGTGCAGAGAAAAATTTTATAAAAATCTAGCTGATATCTGAACTTAGCTCGGAGATTTCGATAATAATCAGTTGTTAGTGAGATTTCTCAGCA